TTCTAGGACAGGTAGACATTTTTGAGCCCCCAACTACTGATGACGGATGACGAATTGGTGCAGTAGTCATGGTTTCGGTAAAGAAAAAATCTGCTAAATTGTTGTTAAATTCACTTTAACGTTGTAACGGTAGTGTAGAATAATGTTTACTGCAGAAGTTCAAATATGAAAACGGCAGATGACTAGTATTTTCATGTAATAGCCTCAACCATGGACAGCTGATCGCGTGAACTTCTGTTTGTCTGTTCGTCGGTTTCTGATAACTTGCCAAATTTGGCGTAATCCTGGTGTTTGCGAGTTTGAAGCCGCGTGATTGGCAAATATCCATCTGTATCGACCATGTGGTTAATCGCTTCGTATTACCTGAGAGTGACAAGTTGTGTCTGAACACAGCACCACGCTTTTGCGGAAGTAATTTCGAGGATTATCATTCTATCGTATACTTCCCTGCAGTGGCGGCTGCGTCAGCGCACAGTCGTTTGGTCATGAGTCTGAATCTGTACATCTGACAGCTGTATATCTCTGTCCCATTTTCGACCTTTTTCATCATGTTACTGACCAGTCGAAACTCTCTTTGAACAAGACATTTTTTTTCCATTCTTCGAATCTGGGCGATCGGCATGTTTACTTTACGATTCCATTATGAAATAAGCGGTGACTCTTTCGAGATCAGATGTCATGGCTAGTTGGCCTAGGAGGCCATTTAGACAGGTCACGGCTCCATGCTATTTCAGCACCCGCAGTAGTATGGGTACATCTCGCATCATTTTGTCCGCTTGTCTGAAGCAATGTTTCAGCAGCTGGTACTTCTTTGATGCGACCGCATAAACATCACACGCTGTTTATACGCGCACACGCATGTCAAAAGCCAATGCCTCCTCCAACGCGAGTCGCTACAGGTGCTCAAAATACCATGGAGACGTGGCCTGCTTAAATGTCCTTATGAGGGAAGGTACCGTGAAATACGCCATGAAATATGGTCTCGGAAATATCATTCGTCATTTGATATACTCGATCGTGTGAACAAACGTATGATTTTATGACTCCACTGTAATGATTTGGTGAGGCAGCACCGTCATTTCGGTTTGATTGTTTATATTGTGTTTCTGTTTCACTGTTTCATCTCCTCTGTGTGATGAGGCGCCGCTCTCTGGTGTGGAGGGTAAACCTGGGCAGACCCAGATGTACCTGAGCTAATCGAACAACACTCCTAGCGGGTCTGGCCTGACTGCTGTCACCTGGAGCCGAATTCGGCGGAGATAAATCGGAGACAGACGTTATGTCCAAGACTATGTGCAAACGTGGACTGTAGGTAAGACAATTTTTCAACATACCATGCAATCTAATGTACATATAAAAATGACCCCTAGTCCCTTGTTTGCAGCTCACTTCGGACTACGACGAACTTCACTGCACCAATGACGGAAGACAGTGACGAGCTGATATTCAAGGAACTGCCGGCGTATTGTTGCAAAACTTCGACTCAGATGGACAGTGAGATGTGAGAAATGAAAGAGAGATGTGCAAGCTTGTGGCGACAAACTGTACTTGTCAGACGAGCGTGGGCGTCGAGACTAGGCAATTGTGATCCCCGTTAATTATCAAGAAGGATAAGCCAATTTTTGTTATGCTCAGAGCTTTTCGATCTAAGCCAAAGCATCCCGCTTCGTATTTTTGCAGTTGATTTCTGTTGGTCAGTTCTGTTTTAAAGCCGCTGTATGTCGTAGTTCTTAAATATGCTCTCTCGCAGTACCTGACAGTGTACTGCACCTTCTTTGCTGATATTCGCTATATGGTCCCGTATCTTGCTTTTGAGCTTTCTGTCAAGAGTTCCCCAGTACAAATCAGGAAATGCTAGAAAAACTTAATGTGAAAGCTGTTGTAGCCTATGATTGGCATAGAAATAAATGGCACACTTCTGAAGTTTTCCTGACTTACATTATGATCAAGAAGTATTGAACTGGATGCTCTGTTGTTTTTTTTCTGCAGCGATATTGGAGTAGGTCTGCTTATACTGTTTACAGTTGTCTATCTTTGTACCAGTCGAAAGTTCGGTCTCTTTACGATCTTTTCGTTCCAATGTCATCTTGGACGAAATTAATAAATTAATGGTACGATTTCGTGTCACTTTCAATTAGGTGGATTTCGGTTTAGTGCTTCTAGCAGTCTTCTACCATTGCCATGTCGTCAGACGTTGTGTGGTAAGCGATGCGACGCGTGTTCTATTTTCCAGCTGTCTTAGGTGAACTCAACTGGAATATATGTCCCGGGAAAGATCGAATTGTACCTCAAACGCGCCGTCTTCTCCGTGAGATTTCCAAACGAACTGAAGCTTCCAATTCTTGTCGAATCTCGGAAACCGGACATTAGCATTCGCCTGCCGATTGAAAACCAAGGTTAGATGCGTTCGTGTTCTTGATCAGTATATAATGAGTTTAAAATATGATTACGAGACAACTGTGAATTATTCGCTACAAATACGTGGCTTTAGTGAATAAATGTATCTGCTTGAATGTAGTATTTGTTCGGTTTTACGCCGCGGCGAGCGGACGCGACGCCTGTGCGTAAAGTGTGATATAGTCCACAGGTTCAAACGTTTGTAACAAAAAGAAATCTAACATCTTGCCAATCACAAAGCATCCGGCACCATTATCCTGTTACTCGGTCTTTCATTCTGATACCTCAGATGACAATAATAACAGCAACAACAACAACTGTTTGAATGTGCGGATCATGGTTAAATCTTTCAGCACGTCCGTATCCATAGTCGGTTCATCGGTCATCGGTCTTATTCCTGCTGCCGTTATCCTCATCGATGGCTAACTCAGTCGTAGCAACAGAGTATTTTCTCATTAGACTTGTACTGCTTCATATTATTTTATTGTTAAAATCTGATCTGTGTCTCTGTGTGCTTCCTATGAACGAAACTAACAGAAATAACCTTTTAAACATGCTAATGTACTGCTATAAACAATGTTAGCACATGCTGTAAGCGCGCAGACAATAGGGTATGACTAACATGTGGGGACGGGTTAAATCTGACTTAAGCAGAATAAGGACTGCTTAACGATTTGCGGAACGTACCTGTAACATAAGTCAGGGTGTGTCTGTGTATCATAGGTAGTTTGTTTTGCATACTCTCCAACGAGGTGAAAACAGTTGCTGAAGGCACCATGCGATCTTTCTGTTTGTTTTAAAGTTTTGGCTTCCTGAACAGCAGTCGTCACCAACTCTAGGAGCAAAAATGTCGGAATAAATATAAAGATTTTGTTTTCATGTACCATTGTTTTGTCGTCGAAAATATGAACAGTTTGAGATGTCTGTCTGTATGAAACGGTTCAACGAGCAGCTGACGTGTTTCTGTCAATCGCAGACAACGGTGCTAGCGATGGCTGTCGAATAAGGCGCCATCGTGTTTACCGTGCGCTTGGCATCGGCTTGCGAAGTAAATTTTGTTTCAGATGTATGTCTTAATACGGTATTTGTGTTTTCGATGATGAGATGAGTGTTGACCACTGGTCAGCGCCGCTGATGCGGCACATTCTCCATTTCGCTTCTGGTCTTAGTGTTTTTTCGCAGAGTTCCTGCTGGCCGGTGTCGTGCAAACAATCAGCATCATCGTGCAGTTGAACGACGCTTTGACGGAAACGTGTCGCGAGATGGCCATATTCGTTGAGTCACTGGACGCTGCGTTGATGCTCCTCGTAACAGAAGGTATGGTACCGTCAGACGAGTGTTTCGTTCATGCTATTCAGGATGAGGAGGAGAAAACTGGCGACGGTAGCCGAAACGTTCGAAATCTGCGACGCACACTGACCAAAGACGGCCCACATGCGGCCTGCTGCAGTCTGTCCGTGTTCTGCCTACTGACCGATCAAGGCGGCAAGGAGGCGACGCAGGTACCACGGCTATCACAATCTTTATCTAACAGCAAAATCAGCGACGCACACTACGGCAAGCATTCTCCACTTATCAGTTTTTTCCCCTGAAAGTAACCAGGCAAGGTACGCCTCTTGGTTGTTTACATTTGAAGTGTTGTAGTAGTCTTCTCATACTCGTTTTCTTTGCTTTATTATACAACCAGTGTCGTGGTGCAATGTTCCTGGCGATAAATCAAGTATACGACCGAAAATTAAGAATATATACTGTGACTTTGTATGTAGGGTAAAGTAAACTTTCGAAAACCTTCGAGATGAAGTACCACGGTAGCGTATATTGCATAGTGCAACGTATGTACCGTGTGTGCTATTCGGTGTAACGTATTATGCCGTACGGTAATATTCTGTGTTCTATAAACTATGCTACTGGTGGTACTATGATATATGCATAGTACTGTATAGAGATCACCTATTGTCTTGTGTTTTGGGTTGTTACGAACGAAAGAACAACAAAATATATTTTCTGACAAACATCCTCTATGGCGCACTGATGTTTCAGACCAAACTCCGTATTCAGAGCTATGCAAAATGCAAGACTGGCGCATTAATTGAACACGAACCATATTTGACCTAAGACATCGCTCTGCCATGTAGGTTGAGTGTAAGTAAATGTATTATGCGTTGTTCTTCTGTTCATGACGTTCTAAAGCAATACTGTCTCAAGCATAAAATACTCTTGCACTATAATCATTATATTGTCCTCAATGCTTATCTGGTCAATAGTAAAATGCATTCTGTATTGAATAATGTGGTATGGCACATACTGTACATGAACTTTTCTGTATAACCTAGGGTATGACATGTGCTGTTGTGCAACCAGCTTACATCCAGCGACGTTATTAACATGGTAATTCTGCAGCGACGCTTGAAGCTACCTGCTCAGTTTACTGAGTTCGGTGTTGTGCACTGATATTGACCAACCTTGTTTAACCTGGACATTAGCTCTAAGCAGAAACATGGATTATCAGTCGTAAACGCAGCACCCTAAATCCATCGAAGTTATGACTCGTTTGGCGGAACGAGGCTGGCGAACAGGACCTTGCGACGATATGTATTGTCTTTTGCATTTATTTCTGTTGAATTTTTGATCCCTATTTGCAACCCTAGGCATCAGGCACGCGTTTTTTGTGAAAGGAGTATGAATTAATCAGGGCGTAAAGTGATCGCTAGCTTGATTTTTATTATTGAAATGACGGCTTCAAATACCCTGTGCGGCGTAATGTTTCGCTTGCTGGCTTCTAATTAACCTGTTTTCTGTGTACTGATTTATAGTCAGCGTTTAGTTGAGTGAATGCGAATTGCAGTCGTGATGTGCATGCTCGCATCGGGCAGCATGATCGTAGGCGTATTACCTCTGGCGTGATCACACCACATCATTCCACTGTCGCTATGATTCGTGGCTCAAAGATCCGCTACTCGTTTTTCGGCTGACTGCACCAAAGCTCAGCGGGGCGAATCCCTTGCTCAACGGAATACGAATAAGTTTACGCAGCGTGTGAGGTTTGAACC